TTTAATCAAACCAAAAATACCAGGAAAAAGACTGTTGGTCGTCAATGGAGCACGGATCCAAAATGGTTTTCAATAAGGGGTTTAATAGGCCTTTACAAAATTATGAAGCCCATTAATAACAAATATATCTTACTTTGATATCTTTACAATTGAATTAACTAAATATTAATTCGCATCAACACAAGCATCACCGGGAAAACTCACTAATGGGTAGAGTTTCAAGACACGAGGAGAAGCAAGCATATCATCATCATAGTGAACTAGAAGAGGCATGTGAAAGCATGTCTAATATTATACTCGGATAATAAAAGCACCGAAATTAGACCAAGATGCAAGGGGGGAAAAATTGTTTCAAATTTCAGCAATCATCAATATTTGAAATATTGGGTTTTTAACTTCAAAGAGGTTGAGTACATGATAAGGAACACAAGGAAATATTCATTGAGGAGAGTGTGTAACAAGTAGTAAAAAAAAAGCATAAACCATTAAAACATTGTCTGAATTAAAAAGAATTGACCATATGACACTAGACAGAAGAACCCAAATTCTCCGTATACAACACGGTTCTGTTGTGTTCATTCATTACTTCCTCTTTAGACGCCTTATTTTTTCCATGCCTAAGAAAACCAGCCGCTAGACCAAGCTTCCAGTAGTTTACGTCTAAACAATTAATATTTGAAATATTAATTGAAAGAAGCTTTTCCCACTTCACGCTCGGTTTTTCTTGCTGCAAACTCCATACGCCCACATAATTCGAATATTGCGGCACATCAGATAGACATAAACGATCTCTTAGACTCCATAAGTATGCACTTTCCGAGTATATGGTGTACCAAGTCGGTAACAAGACATAGCGGAATTTTTCTGTGTGAAGATCTATGGCTCCAAGATTTGTGAGTTTACTCGTGAAAACAGAAACTGGCTTTGTCAACCAGTAAAGCGATCCATTTGCAAATATTGATGTTTTATCATTGCAAAGTTCATTGTGAAAAATGGGGAAATATATGTATCTGCGTTCTCCATTGTCGAGGTTAAAGACTTCGGCCTTGATAAGAGTCCTAGAGTCGAACAAATACATCAAGATTACTTTGTATTTTCCTGTAACAATGTCTCTTCCAAATCCCACACTAACTGGCAAGTCACTAGACGACCAACCTAAAGAAAAACAGACATAGTTGAAAATAAAATACTTGTTATGAAAATGTATTTAGTTACA